AAGAAAGAAAGAAAGAAAGAAAGAAAGAAAGAAAGAAAGAAAGAAAGAAAGAAAGAAAGAAAGAAAGAAAGAAAGAGAGAAAGAGAGAAAGAAAAGAAAGAGAGAAAGAGAGAAAGAGAGAGAAAGAAAACACTGCAAGCTAGCCCCAGCCACTTCAGTACACGTTCGATCCCTGGCCCTGGAGGTGATCTACATGACACAGCAGACCTCTTCTGTCTCACTGGCTGTTCCCCTCAGCAGTGTACTATGTCGATATGCCTGCTTTGCTCCCCACTCTGACTCTGGTGAATCCTCTCACTGCCCCTGCACCTCTGGCCTGTATGCCCCAGTTCTATATGAATAAATCTTTAAAAATAAATAAAATTATTATAGGGCCTCTCTGGTGTCTCAAAGGTTAAAGTCTCAGCATTATCAAGCTATTGGCAGCCACTTCGGCGTGAGTTTGAAGCTCGACTAGGGAGCTAACCCACATATGGTTTCTTGTCTTGCCCACTGCTATCCTCAGCAGTGTATTTCAGTAGATCTGCCTATTCTGCTCCCCACTCTGTCTCTGGTGAATCCTCTCACCCTCTGCACCTCTGGCCTACACCCCAGCTCTTGTATGCATAAATAAATAAAAATGAAATATTAAAAAAATAATTAGTGAAAACAAGACAGATTTGAAAGGAACCAAATAATACAGAAAATGGAAAAAGAATTCCATAAGTATGCTAGGAGAAAAGAAATTATCCAGAAGGCAACAGAAATATAGAGGTGGGAATTATGAAAGAAAAAAATACAGAAATTAAAATGTTAAGGTCCAAAATAAGTTAAATATTTAAGATCTGGGAAAGAAACTAAGTAAGAAGCATTAACTGAGGATGTTACAAAATTGATGAAATATGTGAAATCTCAGATTGAGGAATCACTGTTGAGTCCTCCGTAGGATAAAAGTAAATCCACACCATGTAATGAAACTTAAGAACACAAATGACCAACAACTATCTGTTAGGAACATAGGCTGGGAGCTAACACCACCTCAGTGCCATCTGGAAGCTCGTGACACTATCTTAAAAGCCACCATGACGGGCTCTCCCTGGTAGTGCAACGGGTTAAAGCATTGCATTATGAAGCTCTCTGAAGTCCCTGCAGCACGAGTTGAATCCCCAGTTAGGCAGCTGACCCACATGGCATAGCAGACCTCTTCTGACCTGCCTGCTGCTATCCTCAGCAGCGTGCTTTGTCAATCTGCCTGTTCTGCTCCCCACGCTGTCTTTGGTGAATCCTCTCACCTACCATACCTCTAGCCTGTACTCCAGTTCTGAGCATAAATAAATAAATCTTTAAAAAAAAAAAAAAAAGTACCATGAGAATGAAAAGTAGTTAAATACAGTTCTCAAGAATAACAAAAATGTCAGAATTTCCGTGAACTAATAATATGTTCAAGCTGTTGAGAGAAAATATTTGGAAGCCTTGTACCCAGTTAAAACAATCAATCAAGGCCCTCCCTGGTGGCGCAGTAGGTTAAAGCACAGCACTGAGAATCTAAAGCCACTTCTGCAGGAGTTCGATTCCTGCCTGCCCCAGAGGTGCCCGCATGGTATGGCAGACCTCTCCTGACCCACCCACTGCTCCCCTCAGCAGTGTACTTCGTCGATCTGCCTGTTCTGTTCCCCACTCTGTCTCTGGTGAAACCTCTCACCACCCCTGAGCCTCTGGCCTGTACCCCAGTTCTGTATGCACAAATAAATCTTTAAAAAAAAAAAAAAAGATCAATCAAGACTAAAGATGATATAAAGATTATTTTCCAATAATCTTTATTGGAAATTAGATTGTCTACTACTAACAGAACACCAGTGGGGTGGGGGGGATATATGAAGAATATAATCCTCTATTTGACACAAAAGGAATAAATTGAAAGGTGAAAAAAACAAACTAAACATATGTAGGTAAAATGAAATAATCCTGACAGCACAAAACAAGTATTACTTGAATTCAACATTGACGTAGATTGCCTTTAAGTGCTCATTTGGAGTGTGAACAATGCTTTTGATATGCTTAGTGTACACTGGGTAAAAGGTTGAAATAAATGACCTTTAACATACCTACTGACCATCAGGTTTTATCAATTAGACATAGCTTTTAGATCATTCCCTGATCAGCTCATTTAGCCATCTCAGGCAGAGTAAGGCATCTTAATGGTTTTAGAACTCAACTCTCTGTTCATGAAATTCTTCCCACTCCCATGTTTGGTAAGTAAAAAAAGAACATTCTAAATAGAGATGTTTCTAAGAGTGTCCAGGTCTGAGCTTCTGTTTTCAGGGACATACAGTTTGGTTTTACAGGAATTACAATTAAGGCATCAATTGCTTCAACCTGGACCAAGAAAGAAGTACTTTGGAAGCTTTTACAATAAAGAATGTGCTTCTTCCTCCAAAGGAGAAAATACTCCTCCATAAGTGCACTCACACTTATCCCTGCTAACTGAAGAGCTCCACAGGTAGAGAAAGCCTGGACCCACCGTTTCCACCTATCATAGGGGGACACACTTGACAACCCATAACTTTGGAAACACCAGACACCAGAGAAAGGGAAGCATGGATTAAAGCAAATAAACATCGCATTTTCAGGGGGCAATGCCACTGCAGGCATGAGGGCAGCTAACACAGAGGTTTCAAAAACATTAAATAAAGATGGGAAAGTTAAGCTCCTCATGCCTTTTAGTCCAAGAAAGCTCATTCACCACAAAGCACACAAGAAAGGCCATTACAGATTTCATATCCTGCTGTAGGCACCAAGATACAAGAACAAAGATACTGTTTCTAGAAAAGAAAACACGCAGAAACACAGAACACTGGAGAAAAAGCCCTATCTTAAAAATAAATAAGTAAAAAAAAAATAAAGCTCTATCTCGGGGTAAGCAAAAGAGGGTGTCCAGAGGGGGCAGGGTCGACCTAGTTAGGCTCTTTTAATAGTCACAAATTTGGAGTCTCCATAATGCTTCCACCAAACACCTTACCTCATCTGACCCTCACAATAACCTCAGGAAGTAGGAAAGTAGGTAAGTTCACTGCTTACATATATGAGAAATTAGGTGCTGAACAAATTAAATGGCCCCCAACCATCCTCCCTTCCCCGTCCTCACCTAGGCCCAACCCTCCAACACAAGACCAGTATAGCCCCTCATGCCCTACCTACGTAAAGCTAGGCCAAGTTAAAACTTTAGGCACCTTGGATTCCTCACCTAAGACAAAGTATAATAAGGGTGTTTGGACAGTTTTAAAAAATGATCTTCATACAGGTGTAAAACACTGGTGCTCGGAAAATGTTAACTACTACTATTGTTAACAATTATGGGTGAAGACTCCATTGCAGGACCTCTCGGTTACAGGACTTCTCCCCCTGCCCCCCACCGTACCCCACCCCCTCGCATGCACCCCCTTGATACCCTTCAACAGAATTCAACAGACACGCCCCCAAAGAGAACCCCTCCCGCCCCCGTCCCTCTCTTCACAAATCTTACCCCCCAAAATTCTCCCCAGTCAGACTCGGTTACCAAGGAGGCCTTCCGCTCGCAACCGCCTCTGCAGCACCCTCTTTAGGATTGGGCATCCCTGCAGGCGCCCAGGCCGAAAGCCAGCCTCAGGCCCGCGCCGGTTACCTGGCTGCGAGCTCCAGCCGCGCTCCGCGATTCCCCAGTCCTGCGCCGCCGGCTTGCGCTAGCGCTCGGAGCGCACAATTATTTTAAACTATGGCTCCGCCCCCTCGTGTCGTCCTCTGATTGGCTCCGGTAGGCTGGTGTCTCTCACGCAAGGGCACGCTGGTGGACGCGGGAAGGGAAGTGTAAAGGCCACTGGGAAGGGAAAAGGGGTGTCGATACTTCCGGACCCGGTCTCGCAGCCTTGGAGCCCCGCCCCTGAACTACAGTTCCCAGTAGGCATCGCGGCAGCGCCTGTGGCGTCCGGTCTGGACTGAGTTGCTTTGGTAGTTACCATGGAGTTGCACTGAGTAAAACTGAGGTAGTGGAACGCTGAGGCTGGTGGAGAAGCGACTGCGGGTGAGTCGGAAGGGAAAACAGGAAACCCGCTCTGAGGGACTAGAGCTCTGTGGAGATGGGAGGGGCACACCGAACGCCAAAGCTTCCTTTCTCCGAGTCTTGAGATCCCGCCCTCCTTTACTTCTTTCACTAAGAACGAGTTAACTTTCAAGTGGAATAGACTGGCCTGGGGAGGAGAGAGGAAGGCGCTGAAATACAAATTAATACAAGTTTAGGGATGCTTAAGATATGCCCCTATCACAATCATGGGACCTCCCCCCACCCAATATGAATCCTCAAATTCCTGACACCCTGGGTGATCTGAAACGCCTTTAATGTGGGTTTTTCATCTGATGAACTGAGACAAAGGAACAGCATTAAAGTAAAAATAGCAAACGCTAACTCTGGAGATGTAGGAACCGATGGAGCTTGCATTGACCATTTCCTTCTAAGCAGGAAGACACCAGGGTCGTCTCAGAGTCATTTAGGTCGCCTCACACACTCACTCAATAGGGGTCCAGTCCCTAAGTGACTTTCATACACCGTGGCCTGCCTCTCAAAGCTCTACAGTTAGCGTTTTATTCGTTTTCGTCTTCTTGACAGATTGTTGGTTTTCCCGTTGCTTTCACAGCTAATCTCTGTGTCAGGATATTTATCCCTATTTCAGAGATTAAAAAACTGAAAGCATCACACACCATGTCACTGGTAGCTAGGAGTGGATCTCAATCCACCAGCTTCTTGGCTAGAGACCAGCCAAGTCTCTAGCATGAACCTACAGCCACTGTAGTTTGAAGACCTATCTAAAAACTAAACTGCCCCAGGAAAATAAATCTTTCTGACCTACATTGGATTACTTACATTTCAGCCTGAATGGATTTCAAATCCTTCCTTTAAAGTTTAAATGGAAAAGGAAACTAGAGAGACTGAAGACAATGGAAATCAGACAGATTTAACTAACCAGAAACAGTCTGGCCAACACACAACACCCATGTTTGATGCTGCCATGAAGCTGGCTTCAGGGTTGCTTCTAGCTGGTCAGATCAGTCCATTTACTATCCTTTTTAAAGATTTATTTTATTTATTTACACATACAGGATTTGGGGGTGTAGGCCAGAGTTATTGGGGTGGGTGAAAGGATTCACCAGAAACAAAGTGAGGAGCAAAACAAGTGAGACCAGAGGCCTAACTATGCCATGTGCTTTAGCTCCCTGGCTAGGGATCAAAATCTTGCTGCAGGGGCTGCAGACAGCTTGATAGTGTGGAGACTTAACTCCTTGCACCACTAGGGAGACCCTCCACTTACTATCTTAAAGTTGCTCCAGAATTTTTTTTTTAAGATTTATTTATTTATGAATACATAATTGGCCAGAGGTGCACAGGGTGAGAGGATTCACCAGAGAAACAGAGTGGGGAGCAGAGCAGGCAGATTCAGTGAAATACACTGCTGAGGGGAGCAGCGGGCGCATCAAGAGAAGTCTGCCAAGCCATATGGGCTACCTCCCTGGCAGGGGATCGAGCTCATGCTGCAGTGGCTGCCATAGTTTCATAGTGCTATGCTTTAACCTGTTGCGCCACCATGAGAGCCCACCTGATTTTAAGTCCACTTCCCACCTCATTCAATGTTCTCTTCTTACATACATTCATCCACAATTGCATTTTGATATATACAAATGTATATACTTAGTCCAAACCTCATCTCTAAGTTCCAGATCTATATAACCAGTTGCCTGTTCAAAATGTTCAGGATCTCTCCAAAACAAAGTCAGTATGTCTGCAACATTATCTCTATGTACACCACTCCTAGATCTCTTTCAGTGTTCTTACCTTTATACAGTCACAGAAGCCAAAAACCCCAGAGTTGGCCCTCCCTGGTGATGCAACAAGTTAAAGCAAAACACTGGTTCTATCCTCAGCCCCACAGGTGACCCACATGGTGTAACAGACCTCTCCTGTCTCACCTGCTGCTCCCCTGAGCATTGTACTCCGTCAGTCTGCCTGTTCTGTTCCCCACTCTGTCTCTGGTGAATCCTCTCACTGCCACTGTACCTCTGCCTTGTACCCCAGTTCTGTATGCACAAATAAATAAATCTTTTTTTAAAAGAAAAGAGTCTCTAAAAAAAAACAAAAACAAAAACCAGAGTTATTTTTAAAATCTTTTCCATTCATATAATCCTGTCAGCTTTACTTCCTAAATAAAGTTTCTCTACTCCTAGCTGTCATCAAATCCTTCCTACTTTCTCTGCCACCATTCTGCATATGTAGCCAGAGTAGTCATTCAGAATGACATTGTTCACTTGCCCACCCTATATCCCCAATTAAAAATATACCTTGGGCCCTCCCTGGTGGCACAGCGGTTGAGGCACAGCACTGAGAAGCTAAAGCCACTTCCGCATGAGCATGAGTTCGATTCCCGCCTGCCCTGGAGGTGACCACATGGCGCGGCAGACCTCTCCTGACCCGCCCGCTGCCCCCCTCAGCAGTGTACTTCGACCATCTGCCTGTTCTGCTCCCCACTCTGTCTCTGGTGAGGTCTCTCGCCGCTCCTGAGCCTCTGGCCTGTACCCCAGCTCTGTCTGCATAAATAAATCTTTAAAAATATATATATATATATATACCTTGGGGCTTCCTATTGCTCTTAGTATAAAAGAACACCTCAGACTCCCATCTACCTCTTCAGTCTCTAGGTTAACAATACATACCCCTCCAACTATATAAGAGCTTCAAAATTTCAAAGTAACCTCATACCAAAACCCTTTACAGAAGCTGGTATTTCTGCCTGGAATGTTCTTTTCACCCTCCTACAATTAGTATGTACTTACCTTCCAAGTTTCTCTTCACCACTTCTTTAGGACTGTCTTCCTTAACTACTCAAACCAGGTCAGAGCTCTCATAACAACTTCATGTCCCCTCCTTTATAGTATTAAACACTTGTTGCAACTTTTAATGTATGTTTAAGCATCTTCTACTTGCTGCCACTATAGGGATATACCTATGAAAAAAAGCAGGGTTCCTGCATTGATGGAGTTTTCAGACATACAGATAGTGAGCAGGTAATCTTAGTGTTATGAGTGCTACCATAGCTGTAAATATAGGGTGCTATAGGAGTCCAGAGAGAAATGATGTGAAACATAGAAAGATGGATATGCAGAGGGCCAGAAGCAAAGTGCAAGAATCTTTGATTAGTTGCATTTTGGCTGGACTACATGTAGAGGTGAGAATGAGATGAGAGTTGACAGGTAGGTAGGAGCCAGGTTGAATTCTGGGATTCCTTTATTCACCTGGGAATATAACCTCCAGAATACATTAGGCTTCCTGACATTCTTTGATTTTTCCATCTACATGTAGTCCTTAAACAGAAACCACCTGCAGGCCATGCTACTTACTCTTCTCTAATCAGATTATTATCGGATTATACCACAAAGCTTCCTGTACCATCATGTTGCTACTTACTTGATAAAGGGCAGGATAGATTATCAAAAACTCAAATTCCACTCCTAGGTATCTACCCAAAAGACACAAAAACACTGATTCAAAAAGATACCTGTACCCCTATGTTTATTGATGTTTTATTCACAATTGGAAAGATATGGAAACAGCCCAAATGCCCAAAAATGGATGACTGGATTAAAAAGATGTGTTATATATACTCAATGGGATATTACTCAGCAACCAAAAAAAAAAAAACATGTCTTTTGCAGCAACATGGATGGAACTGGAAAGAATCATGCTTAGTGAAATAAGCCAGAAAGAAAAGGAAAAATACCGCATGGTTTCTCTCATCGCGGGAATATAACGATATAACGGAACAGGCGAGAAAATAATGATAATGATGAACAGCTATAGACCAGACACATTTTGTGGGGGTAGAGTGGGGAAAGGGATCAAAAACAGTGGCGGGAGGCAAATGCACTGGACTATGGTGATGGCACATGGGTGATTTAGTGATGGGAGGCCCAAGGGGATTGCAATGGAGATGGAAAAATGCACAAAATGATGTAAAAATAAACTGTTATAATTTTTTTAAAAAGATGCAATGCTTTGAAATAAATGGAGAGATCTGTGTATAACCCCCCCCAAAAGAAACTTAAATTCCATTTGTTAATAATTTCTAAACCTTGGTATTTGTTAAATAAAAGTAAATAAATTAGGACAGATACAAGTTTTCTGGAATATACTACGTCTATTGAAAGGGTATAAAGGAACTTCCCTGGTGACCTAGTGGTTAAATCTCAGCGCTATCATGACAGCAGCCTGAGTTCAACCCCTGGCCAGGGAGCTAACCCATCTATGACACAGCAGACTCTCCTGTCTTGCCTGATACTCCTCCAGCGGTGTATTTCAGTAAGTCCACCTGTTTTGCTCCCCCATTCTGTCTCTGATGAATCCTCTCACCCCTCCACCCCTTCAGTAGTTCTATGCAATAAAAAAAACTTTAACTGTCCTAGCAAGTATATAGCTGTTCTCAGTTTATTATGTGTTCTTTACTTGTGTTAAATTACTTGATTTTCATAATACCCTTTAGAATAGACTAAGGCAGATATTTTTATTATCCCTATTTGGAAGTGAGAGGAAAGGGCATGAGTGGCTGGCTGAAGGCAGGAGTTTAATGGGGGTTACACATAAAAATAATTTTGAAATGTTGATCCTTGCCTCGAGAACTCTAAATCTAATGAAGAAAATAGATCTAAATGAAGCAATAAAGAAAAGAAAGATTGCCAAGGAACAGACTATGTTTATTTTTGAAAATACATGATTTTGTTATATGTCTTCTAGGAGGTTATATTTTCAAACTGTTAATCATAATCTTGGACAAGATGGAGGTTCAGGCTTTTAGATTCTACTTAGTGTACTTCTATATGCCTTTTTTTTTTAAGTAACAGTTTATTTTTACATCATTTTGTGCCTTTTCCATCTCAGCTGCAATCCCCATGGGCTTCCTATCACCAATTCACCCATGTGCCATCACCATAGTCCCATGCATTCCCTTCCCACCCATTTTTGATCCCATTTCCCACTCCACCCCCATAAAATGTCTCTGGTATATAGTTGTTCATTATTATTATTTTACCCCCTGGTCCTTTATGTTCCTGCTATGAGTGAAACCATCCGGTAATTTTCTTTTCTTTCTATTTCCAGCTTATTTCACTAAGCATGATCCCTTCCAGCTCCATCCATGTTGCTGCAAGAGATCTATGCCATTTTTTTTTTTAAGATGTATTTATTTATACAAGAGCTGGGGTACAGGCCAGAGGTGCAGGGAATAAGAGGATTCACCAGAGAGAGTGAGGACCAGAACAGGCTGACTGACCAAAATACACTGTTGAGGGGGGCAGCAGGCGAGACAGGAGAGGTCTTTCATGCCATGTGGGTCAGCTCCCTAGCTAGGGATTGAATTCATACTGTAGTAGCTGCAGATAGCTTCACAGTGCTGCACTTTAAACTGTTGCACCACCAGGGAGGAGGGAGGGCCTCTCTGTGCCTTCTGACTTTATCCAGTTATGTTCAAATAAAAAAGAACAGTTAAGAGAGATTTCCAGTTTGGGGGGAAATTTCTGAAACAAGGCAGGTATGCCCCTAACACTGTCATTCATCTAATCAGTCCAGAGAGATGAGAAAAGACACTGGGACCAGACTAGCTTCTGGTCATGAAGCAGAATAGCAGCTGGGAAAGACCAACTCTTAAAACAGCTATTGAAGTAAGGCAGCCTCAAAGCTTTGTCATTTTCCCCAGTGATCAGGCTCACTATGTGGCATCTTGAACACGTCATTCATTTATACCTTCATTTCTTTCAGTTTCCATTTATTCATTTGCTCATCAAGTCTTTAATGAATTATCATTCTTTGCCCAGCTAATGGTTGGAAGACAGAAGTCTGACTTCTGCTACTGTCCTCAAGCTTACAGGGAGAGATCAGGGAATGGATTATAAATAAGTACAGAAAGTACAGCTGCTTCAGTTTTTCAAACACCTATTGCAGGACACGTAATAGTTCTCAAGATAGGGTTAGTCTCTATGTGACAAATGAGGAAACAAGCTGTGATAAAATTTTGTTTTCTAAGTACAGTGGGGTCATATATCAGTTAGCTATTGCTAACTGATCATCCCAAAACATAGCGGTTTAAAACTGAGCATTTATTATTGCTTCCAGGTGTCTAAGTGAGCCATATATTTCTCCTGGTCTTGGCTGGGCTCGCTCATGTGTACAGTCACCCATAGGTTGGGTGACTGTCTGAACTTTTGTTGGAATAGTTGTATATTAGTCTGTAACAAGTAGACTCAGATGGCCTCATCTATGAGCACAGACTCTCACCCATCTTTCACCTGTACATGTTTCTCACACCCCTCCAACTGCTAACCATATTCTTGGTACCGGCAAAAGAGCAAAAGGGCAAGCTCTCTCTTTAAGCTTTAAGCTTCTATCAACATCCCATTGGCCACAAGTCACACTGTTGATCCCAGCATGAATGCTGATGGAACTACAAAGTTGCAGGGCAGAGACATGGATAAAGATGACACCAAAAGTGGGGATTATCAAAAGAATCAATGTAACACAGGGCATACTGATCAATTTCATCAAGAAAGACTTCATGAAGGGCCCTCCCTGGCAGCCCAATGGGTTGAAGCACAGCAGTGAAGCTCGCCGCAGCCACCTCAGCGTGAATTCGATCTCTGGCCAGTGGGGTGACCCACATGGAGTGGTGCGGCAGACCTCTCCTGACCAGCCCACTACTCCTCTCAGCAGTGTACTTCTCAATCTGCCTGTTCTGTTCCAGCTCTGCCTTGGGTGAATCCTCTCCTCACTTCTGCAGCTCTGGTCTGTACTCCATTTCTATATGCATAAAAAAATAAATATTTTAAAAAGAAAAAAAAAGAGACTTCATGAAGAGGATATACCAGAGCTGAGTCCTGAAACAGAATATTCACTTAGTAGGCAACTGTTATTCAGAGCTGGATGCAGGCCTATTTGCAATCAGTAGAAACCTAGCAGGCATTTCTGTGCTCCTGACCAAGACCAGGTTTTATTATCTGTGTCTTGGCTTTATTCCTCCTGGTCAGGCACAGGGCAACAGGCACTCAACAAATATTTACAGAATTGAATTGAATATCTTACTATGAATGAGCGTGGACTGAAACAGCTGAATCTGGGAGCCAGTTATTAGACAACACTCCCAAAACAGAAGTATTTGGCAGTTTCTTCATTCGTTGTTCCTACATCTCCTACATCTTCATTCATTGTTCCTACATCTCCTTAGTGCCTATTGTAAGCCAGATTCTGTGTTAGATGATGAACAAGAGACAATACTAGCTCACATCCTTAGTTATTGTCTAAAGGGAGATTAATAACCCTTCCCAAATGACAACTCTTAGCTAGCTACTTGGGGCTCCATTTATAACTCCTCCAGAAAAATGTATCAAATCCTGATGTTCTGTAAAAATAAGAAGTTCTTAAGAATGGCATTGAGGTTCTCCTATGATCAAGGAGACTAATGGTAAAATCTGCCCCTGATTTTAAGCTAAAACCCAAGTTCAGTAGTACAGAACTTTGGGATCCCAACCTAGGACTGAATTTGAGAAAACTATCCAGTTTTGTTCAAAGGCATCAAAACTGTTAACAGGTGCTGAAATGGGATAGGCTTCTGTCTTGGTGAAAACACAAGCAGATTCCTCTATGTCTACAATAGAATATGTTTTCTGGTGTCTGTAGATTTGATAGCTAAGAGATTCAGATCTCCCTTCAGGTCAGTAACAGATGATCACTAGGCTCATCCTGCATCAGACAGAGGATTCTGGTACGAAGTAACACAAGTTGCCACTTCTTCAAAGCTCAGTTAACACCAACTGCTGAGAAATGTCACTTTCCATTCTTTAAACCCATTAAATTCTAACCTTGCATGTTACATCAGAAAAAAAAAGAAATGTACTTGCACTGTATTAAACTGAATTACAAGCTATCATTATCAATGGTTTTGAAGAGAAATTCTATATTAAGAACATTTCATTTTATCTATACACAAACTTCTTGCTTCTTTCTCAAATAATGAGAACCAAATATCCTAAGGATTACCTCTCTTGCTTTGTTTACTGAAAATTTCAGAGCTGAATGTTTTATTTTTCTAGTTCCTGGAACCTCTCTCTCTTTTAATGTGACTATCTTTCTCTTCCATGACTCTGTATTTACAGATGTACAATCCTTTATGGTAACCTCTAGTCATTTGTGTTTGTTGGGCTCTACAGAGAGCTGTCCCAAATTTAATGTACCATAAGTGTAAAATATGAATTTTTAATATCCTGTACATGTTGAACAATATTTTGAATATATTGGGATGTAAAAATATTAAAATCAACTTGTTTCTTGTTTATTTTTATGATTACTAGAATGTTTCAAAAACTTAGATGTGGTTTTAAAAACTTAGATGTGGTCTGCATTTGTGACTTTTGTATTTCTATAGCTCAGCTATACAGATCATCCTGTTTTATGATCCTGTTATTGTAAACTCAGAAAACCCTTTGGAAAGTAAAGTAGTAAATGCAAAGGATGTGGCAGCAGTGGATGAAGTGAGAAAAGGGAGGCTGACTGGGACATGTACTTGACCTTGTCAGTCTGTATGTCATTTGTCATATACAAACACCTTACTAAAGTGTTCTCAGCACTTCCCAGGTGAGTAGTATTTTAATGGTAGTATTCTAATCTTCCCAATCTCTTGAAAAATTCCCAGATTTACTTGAGCTAACAAATTGGGAAATATCTGATAAGACCACTCGCACCATATTGTACATGACTAGTAACACTGTTTACACCTCTTAGGGAGTATTTTCACTTTAACAGGAAATAATCCACGAACCCAAAGGAATGAATCCCTAATGGTGGAATTTCAGGCCTCAGTGACAGGTGAGTGAATGTGAGGTAGACTCTGATTTTTATGTGTGTGTGTTTATATATGTATGCCTGTCTTCAATATATGGCTGAAAGTAAGGGCTTCGAATGGAACAATAATGGACTGACAAGACAAACTGAGCAAATGAGGTAACAAATCCCCAGCTGGGTCAGACTGCAAAAAGCTGTCAGACATCAGATCCAGCACAGGCACTCAGGGGTTTGTTAAGCAACAAAATAGCCTATTTGATGTCACCAAAGGGTAGGTATTAAAACAGCTTCCATGGCAACTTCTGTGGAGTAGCAGAAAGGGCCGCAGAGTAGGATTCAGGAGACATGATTGCAGTCCACAACTGACTCACCCACTTAACTTTGGGCAAGTGCTTTCACCCTGGGGTTTCAGTTTCTTTGTTAGGAAAAGTAAAAATGGGTGTTATATCAGATGAACGCTATGAAATATAAAGGTACTCTGAGAAGTAGAAATTGCCCTTACAAATGTCAATAATTGTAATTAATATCTTAAAAGAGATATTAGGCAAGGCTGGAGCAGTGGAGGACAGAAGGCAGGGGTGGAGGCTATGGGGAAAACTGAGGGCAGCTATTCCTTGTACCTGGACCACCAGCCCTTCTCTGTTCTCCCAGGCTGAACCCGGACTCACAGGGCCCAAGCTTACACCTGACAAATGATGGCCTGAGCTATGAGCAAACAGGACTATATGAACACTTCGGTGCAAGAACCCCCTCTTGACTACTCTTTCCGAAGCATCCACGTGATTCAAGGTCAGCCCACTGAGCACAGCACTCCCACACATGATAGCAGGCTAGGTATTGGTCCCCATGGAGAAACCAGTTTTCTGTTTAAAAACCTAAAGAGATCCTTCCCACACGTTTGCCGGTTTGTTGCTATTGTCATTGTAAGGGCTAGGGAGGTAGAATGGTTTGACCCTTTCAAAAATTAGAAGGAAATCTGAAAGGAGCCTAGGACCTTTCAAGGTAATTGATATCTTCGAAAGAAGCCAAACTCACAGCAGGAATATCGGGTCAAAGAAAATTAGGAAGCCAGTCTGAAGCTGCCGTTTTTTGGTTTTACCTGAAGAAAGGAAGAAGCTAGTGAAAACAGACTGTTGCAGAGTCCCAGCAGTAAGCAGAACCCTATCTCCTCAGAGCGGACACAAGCCCGCTCTGATCACTGGTAACATGTGGGTTCTTATTATGAACAAACTGGCATGTTTCCAGTCTAAATATTTATTGACATACTTTATTCATTCCAATCATATCCAAGTTTATCCCATCACCCCCTTATTGCAGATTCCAACACTACCCATGTTCATTCCCATTTTTTTCATTCAGTGGGCAGTTAGTACCCTAGGAGGAAAGCAATTTCTTATTCTCAAGAGTAAGCTTCTCAAAGAATTTCTGTTATTTGTGGCTTGCTACCTGCCCTCATAGGACACAGGTTGGCATGCATATATCCTAGTCCATTATCTGGCTTTGGTCTTATCTCTTAGGCAACTGGTAGTCACCTTTGAGTTAAGGAAGCAGGCTCATAGTTATACATGTGCTAGCCTGAGCTTGGATTTAGGGAACTACTTGGATTGCCATCAATTCCATGGTAACTCACGTTTGTTCTCTCACTAGCCTAAGGCCACTGACCACAATCCTTACTACTCACATCATCATCTGGTGGTACAGTCCATGTTTCACAAGGGTTTTAGCTGCAATAATGTCTATGTGTATAAACAGTTAGGGTGACAGAGAGTGGAAGTATGGCTCCTACCTACCCAGCTCTTGAAAAAGAGATGTGGCTGCCCTCTATGAAGTCCTCAGAATGAGGGAAGAGATAAATCACTACAAGGACAACTCCACAGCACAAAATATAATTTGCTTAGATGCCCTGTCTTTCATTCAATAGTTAAATATTTTTTGAGCACCTATTTATTAAGCACTTATAAATGTGTGTTGTATATATATATGCCAAGTACTGTGGTCTTTGCTGAGTGTTGTGGGAATGGGAACAGGAGAGGCACAAAAGCCAATCCCCTCAGTTTCCTCAGAGCTTATGGAATACTTACTAAAACTGAAGCTAGAGGACAGGGTAGAGTTCAAAGATACTTGATGCATTATTTGCTGAAATTAGGAAACAAATGGATCACAAAATTTGGAATGGAAGTTACTTTCAATTTATACTACTTCTACCCATAGTTCTCTTAACTTCTGCTCACAAACCTACAATGTTAAGTGAGTCCTCTACCAATATATCTACCAACCCCTTCAATTATGGGATGAAGAATGACACAAGTATGTTCCCATCTAACTCCTGCCACACACGGCAAAGGTTGTATGATAACTCTTCAAAGATATGAAGACAGGATCATGTTTTCCCTAGTTCTGTGAATATTGAAATTTATAGCTGTTTCCAGACCTACCTGAGCCCACTTTGAGTAAGGCAGCTTCAACAATTCCTTAGGCGATGCAGTGCCCCATGGAATCTGGAGAGCAGTAGCCTGTAGTAGCCTGGATACCCTTCGAACCCTAGGCAGCCTCATGTTTCAGACAATCCCTTCCTATCAGTAGCTCCCTCCAGTAGTTCCCTCTGAGCTTGGGATCACCTGTACTTAGTGGCATTCCCCCAGCTACTCTCATCTGGAATACTGGTTCGTATGTCAGATTAATTTGACCTTAACTTCGTCTTTCTCATTTCAATATTCACAGGAGATGTGAGGCTGAGAGACTAGTCTAGGAATTTATTAATATGCTGAGGACTCAGCTCTGCTACTCTGACTTACCCTTCCTTCCCTTCTCCCTCTCTCCCCCTAAATGCTAGCTGTGGGTTCTGCTCACTGCAGAACTAAGGCAGAGCGCCATCTGGTGGGTGCTGTCTGACCTGCAGCTGAAAGGACATAACCTTGCATAAGGGTGGAAGAACTGAAGTGTATGTAGCATGAGCTGAGGGGAGGGTGAAGACACCCTTCTCAGGATGCTGTGTACTAAATATTTCCTTCCCCAGTAGTAGATTTAGATCAGTAATCAAAGGTGTAGGGGCAATAGGAAAAATATAGTCACCTCAGCCAGAGTTGGTTTCTGGTTCTAGCTCTGCCCAACTTCTGGGTTTGGAGGCTCATTCTCTCGCTAGACCCTAATTTTTAAAAAGGTGATGCCCGGGGGAGGCCAGGCTGTTGGGGGAAAGCTCCATTTTGATGGATTCTAACATCGTTCCATCCCCTGTTCACTCTTCAGCCAATCTTTTTGAAGATGTTTATGCTATCTTGATTATATTTCCTTCCCATCTCTCTTTTGAACTCATTTAATAGAACTTCTATCCCCATTTCCTTTAATTGAAACCACCCTTATCCAGGCCATCAGGGACTTCTGAGTTACCAAAATTATTTATCAGCCTTTATCTCCCACAATCTCACACCTATAAACTATTCCTGAGCATCTTTAAAACTATCTTCTGGTTCTCCCTATCCCCCCGTCTCTCTTACCTTGAGTTACCTTACCTATTCTCCTAACTATAAGCCCTGATTCTCAAGTTTGTACTTCCTGAGCTTCAGACCTTCATATCCAATTGCCTACTTGGCTTTTCCTTCTTTGTACCATTTGAATCTAACACATTAAGGCCATTCCTGAACTCATCACCTGCCCACCCCTCTTCTAATTCCTGTCAGTTCAGAGAATTGGCAGTCACCCAGTCACCGAAACAAGAAACTGGGCAACACCCCTGAATATTATTCTACCCTTACACTCAGTCAAGTAGCCAGCTGATTAAATAATGTGAATGACCTAAAGAGCCAAATTGCTCTTCCAATCCCACCCACTCCCTGAAATCTATATTCAATACTAAAACTCCAATGATCTTTCTGAAAGATATGAATCACCTCTGCTTAAAATGCTCGTGGCTTTTATCACCTACAGGACAAAGTTCTCAAGATTTCAGATGCATTCAAGGTTCCTGATCCTTTTCCTCCCTGTCCATCTTGTACAGCACATGCCTGTATGTCTGTGCTGTTCCAGACCTCTGTCTGCGTGTGCTGTCCTCCACTCCACTCTTCTTTACCTAGTTAAACCTCCTAATCCACTGACATCCAAGTGAGGTTTCCTTTTCACTGGGAAAAATCCCTAAGCTCCCAGACTGGGTTAGGAGCTCCTCTTCCATGCTTCCATAACTATTAACTATAGCACATCACACTATTCCCCATACGAGTTCCTCCAAGGCATAAATTGTTTCATCCCTGCCCTGTTACTGATACAGAGGTTGACACAGACTATCTTTCATTTTGTTGATGAACTATCTTTCACTGTACTTCCAGTATCAGGCACTTACTCATTAATGGAAGAGAGGACATCATGTTGAAGTGAATTCTACCAATGAGTATATCTGCCTTTTGTTCTTATCCTCTTGGTTCAAGCCCAACAACTGGGCTCTTAAGTTTCCTCATCTCCAAGGTGGGAGTACTCCTGCCCCTCCCCCCCCAAGATACATGGGTACAGTATAGAGAGCCCAATGATACCAAAGATATGAAAGGACCACATGACTCAAACCAAGAGTTTGGGGTGGGAAATCGTCATCTCTTAGCCCAAGCTTCTTCAGATTACTGAAGGCTGTAAGTCCAGAATCCCTCTGGACTCTGAGATGGGGCTATAGCCCTGCCAGCCCCTCTAGCTACAGCTTGGGTCACATGCCCCAAAACAAAAAAGCAAAGGTAACATACCCACATCTAACTGTCCTCACAGATATGATAAGCGAGGAGCCAAGGTCAGGACTACGACCACTAAAGCACTCAAAGCAGTCGGGGAAATCACTGACCCAGTCCCTGTGGCTGAACAACAATGTCCTCAGTGACCTCAGAGACTTCAAGCATGTGGTTTCACAGCTACTGGAGCACCCAGAGAACCTGGCCTGGATTGACCTGTCTTTTAATGACCTGACTTCCATTGACCCTGTGAGTCTGTAGTCTGTAGCCCTGTAGTCAGTGTCCTAAAGTCACTTTGCCCAGTCTCCAGACTGGCCACCCCTCACATATTATCAAAGCAGTGAGGCAGCATGATGCCATGTATGCAAGGCACACAGTTCTGGACTCAAGACAGGGGGAGGTTTAAATTCCTAGATTTGCCTCTTACTAACAGTGTGACTTTGGGCAAGATGCCTAACCTAAAACCTTAGCCACCCTATTGAAAAATGAGGATTTTATGCCAGCATCAGAAAGGTTTTATGAGAATATGAAAACAACTACCACATAGGAGGCAAAAATAAACTTGTAGTTCTTATTACCAGGCAGCAACCGTGCCCTCCTGGAGGTACCTAAGGTACCATGGAAGAGGTAGGTAGTAGAAATTCAGCACTTAATTCTCCATATGCTCAGAATCAAGTTTTACAAGATAAATGAAACTAGCTCCTTCCTGTCCAGGACGCCTGTTAGAGGAGCAAAGCGCTAGCGCATGACTTGGAAACTGTTCCCTGTACAGCAATCTCAATTCACCTATTTAAAACACTTCTCTCATGTACCTAGCATGAAGCTCTGTGTCCCTGTGCCCTGTTGCACTAGAATCTGAGAGCATGAGAGCTGGAAAGGCCTTCAGTGAAGGGGCAACTAGGCTCAGGAAGAGGCAGAAAAGCCTAGTCACTTGGCAAGTCATACTGGCGGTGCTAGGAACAGGCCCAAACCTCCTGCTCCTCAGATCACAGCTCTACATGTGATGCCCCTGTGCCCCTTCAAAGGCAAAGAGAACTAGGTTTCAGTCTCCCAGTGTGCTTGGTGGGGCTGGGCAAACTGCTCCCACGCTCTTCCTTCTCTGGTGGATCAGGCCTGAACACAGATCTGGCACCCCCACCCAAGCAGGCTTTTGTTGGTTTCCTTCTCCAACAGATTCTGACAACTTTCTTCAACCTGAGTGTCCTCTATCTTCATGGCAACAGCATCCATAACCTGGGAGAAGTAAATAAGCTGGCTGTCCTCCCTCGGCTCCGAAGCCTAACACTCCATGGGAACCCCATAGAGGAAGAGAAGGGGTATAGGTGAGTGCCCTGCCCCTGGAGCTGTGCTCCAGCTGGGATCCCCGAAGGGAAAGGAGGAATGGAGACCACAAATCTGGTTCATGCTTGAACCAGGGAAGGGAGTAGAGACCTTTAATCATTCCCTGCTATTGATCAGGGTAATCTTAGCCAACATCAAAACATTCAAATCCCTCCATTTCTTGCAGTCCAGGGTAGACAGCAGCAACTGGAGGAGCGAGAAGTTCTGGGGGTGGGGGTTGAGAGTGAGGGGTGGGGGCTAGCCCCCAGCCGGAGTCTTTCCCACAGGCAGTATGTGCTGTGCTCCCTGCCTCGTATCACCACGTTCGACTTCAGTGGAGTCACCAAAGCAGACCGGACGACTGCTGAAGTATGGAAACGTATGAACATCAAGCCCAAGAAGGCCCGGATTAAGCATAATGCACTCTGACATTACCAGACCCTGCAAGTCCTAAAAGCCTGACAATGGTCATTTTGATTAGACAATAAATAGTTAAGCTGTTCTGCAAGTTAGAAGTCCCTTGTACTGTGTATAATGTCCTCCAACTCAGGCAACTTCCAGCAGCTCTGTTCTTATTTCACTGAAGTCGAGGCAGTGGAATTGAAAATTATGTCAGCTTGGGACATAGAAGGCCAGACTTCGTTGTATGGCCTCAGACACTTACCTAATTTCTCTTAGGCTCCTTTTGAGTCTTCAGATCAGATATCCTGGGGTTAGAGTTGAGTGACTTCCAAATTTCTCAGAGCACCAACGTTTATAGTGAGTGAGCCTCAGAGGTCTCATCAGAAAGCCAAGGAGAAAGACTGTGATCTCTGAACTCCACTTCGATCAGATCAGAGTGGCTCTCACATGTTCTATATGTTGATATTCTGGCTAAGATTTCATATAATAGAAGGAATTTTTTGCTTGAAAACATACTCTTGCTCACTCCCTATCAAGTGCTCCTGGTCTACCTGCACCTCTCACCCCCAACCCCGAGACTTGTGGTAATTCCACTGAGTCTGAGACAGGGTCCCCAACAGTGACAGCTGCCTTGGATTCAGGTTTGTTCAGCTCTTATGGTATTCCCACTACTAAAGAAAAGATAAAAATCCAATGTGAGGTCAGTTCAGGCTGAGTCTCAGCTAAGACCTGGGGGCCCTAAACCCTTATTCTTTGGATTCTTCTTAATGTCCCTAGAGTACATCTCTCTCATTCATTTTGCTCTTGCAGACTCTGGTTAAGTTAAAAGTAAATGGAGTCGGGGGCAGGACAGAGGGGCTGGGACCAGCACACAGATGAATATACTTCCTTTATCGCGGGTGACAAACCAAAACAAAAGCAAAGAAAAACCCCCAAACATGTAAAAACCCAGGGTGCTAGAAATACAAACTTAATTCATTCAAATTCAAGCTTGTCCAGACCCTGGTCACAAACCCTAGTGAGGTGCAAGTGAGCACCAAGTCAGGAGAGGGGAACAGGAGTGAGGCCAAGAGAAAATGGGAAGTGGACACCCACAGACCTCCAGTGATCACTCCCTGTGTACCTCCACCTTCCCAGTGACAGTAAGGACCTACCAGGATGAGTCCCTTTGACCTCCACCCCACCCCTGGCCAGGCTTCAAAGGCCAGTCCCAAATGGTTCTACCCTCCCTTGTTCCATCCTCACTTGCTCAGGCTTTTAGCCTTACTCTTCTCCTCCTCCACATTCTTCTGTGTGATTAGTAGCAGGTTAGGGTACTGTATAAGCCGCAGTGAGGCTGGGGGCCAGGGCAGGCGCAGGGTGGAGATGGGGTGAAGGGAGGAGAAGAAGAGCTGTCCAAGGCCCCTTCTCTCTTCATGGGATTCCAAACTGTACAACCAGCTCCTCTTTTGCATCCACACGGATCTGAGAAAGTGCACTGTAGGCATAAGCAGCTATCCTGGAGACCTGAGATAGAGGACCGGGGAGGAGAGTAACAGAGAGAGAGAACAGTAAAAAGGGAGCTCCAGAAAGCAGGGTGAGGGGAATTAGATAGTGAAAGAGGAGGGGGAATGATGGGAATGATGTCAAAGAGAAAGGCAAGGAAAAGAACAAGAAGGGCAAAGAGTAAAGGTAAAAAGAAGATTAAAAAGTCAGACTGAAGTGGGAGTAAGCCAGGGCCCCATAAATTAGCAGGCTTCCTACCACCTACCTACTCCGACAGGGGGGAGGTGAACCCCTGCCACACCCCTGCAGTATAGTGAGGCAGGATAAGGAGAGGCTCTCACCTGCTGCAAGTCAGAGAAGGGGATGGGTTCGCTGGCCAGCACTTGGTGGGGCTGGCTGGTGAGAGACGGCAGTGGTGGCAGCTTCTTCCAATGGGTCAGGCTGCTGCTCAGCACGGCCAGGCGGGTGCTGGCAAAAGGTAGGGGTGCAGTTAGGCCAGTCTGCTCTGTCCTGCCTAGCCCAGGTAAGCCTCCCTTCCCCAGGCCAGAGAATGGGGAAGAGGTGTATATGGGTACTTGGCTAACCACAAATTCACTCCAGCTCCACCTCCCTTGGCCTCCGCACCCTGGAGTGTCACCAGTCAAACAGGGCTGACAACAACATTTACTGAGGCACCCAGGTGGTTTGTGGCCAGGCCTGAGCTGTGCGCAGGTAAGAAACCTGGACTAGTCCCAGGCTCCAAAGCTGGCCTTGCGAGGAGGTTAGTCAGTAGTGGGGTGTGTGTGTGTGTGGGGGGGGTGAGTGTGGAGTCCAAGCGGCCCAAGTTACTTGGGTAAGCACCCAAACTAACAAGGTACCGACCTGTACTGCCTTGCCCGGTCCATGTACTCATGCTGCTCCATGCCCTGGGAGTCTGCAGCAGACACGTCGATGATGTTGCTTTGGGGAGAGGAGGCAGAGAGAACATGATACGCACTTTGAGGAGGGCAGACAGGACTCTCTGACAGCACCAGGACTATCTGACACTGTGTCCCCACCTACCCAATGGAACAGGGCTGAGTCTAGAGGGACTTCTCCCACTGACCTTGTCCCATTCCTCATTTGTGGGTCTGGTTCCCTCTAAACCAGCTTTTAACATGGCTGTCCCAGGCTCAGTCCTATGATGCTCACCTGGCTGTCTTGGCAAGGATGGAGGAGAGCAGGGCCTGCTCGTCTGTGCGAGCAGAAGGCAGGCTATGGTAGTTGGGCTCAGCTCCATTGAGGGCTTTGGTTGGGGGGCTGCTAGGCAGCAGCAGCTTCCGCTCCTCTTGGTCCTAGGAGAGGCCATGGGGGAGAAGTCACCAGAGTCCTTAATCCAACCTGCCATTCCAGGGCTCTCCAGTTAGCCCAGCTCTGACCTTTAAGCACCAAATATTACTTTTATTAGGAATACCCCAAGTGCCCAACTGTATGTAATGTCAGATAAGACTCAGTTCTTGCCTGCCATTAGGAGCTCAGCTGAGCTGGTGTCTAGGATGAATTAAAGTGGAACCAAGCAAAGTGTAGGACATTGAGAGGATGGACAGGAGCACAAAACAGGTATTCAGAAATAGCCATGAAGCATCAGAAAATAGCTCAGCCACTGCAGGAGCCAAAGGAATAAGTACTGGAGGGGAAACTGATGTTAATCTGGAGCCCAAGAACGCCCTCCTGCTTCAGGTCCCCTCCTCCTCTCTAGGATGGGGAAGCTCTAGGCCCCAAAGGAAAGCAAGCCCAACCTCTTAAAGGCCTGTTCGCATAGTGTCTTAGGGCAGGGGTCCCAGCTACAGCCTGAGTCCCGCAGTTCAAGTTCCCTTGAGGACATGTCCCTTTGACACTCAAGTAGTATTCACCTTCCTCTCTCCTGAAGCTCTCTTTGCATGACGCCCAGAATCAAACTTGGTGCACCTGGTGTTTCCTGAGCCCAACTAGTGGTAGAGCTGTACCCTCCCCCACCAAGTCACCAGATCTCTAGTAGTGTGGTGCCAGTAACTCCCAGCAGCCTTGCTGATGCTAGCTAATGCTGATCATCACATCCTCCAGGCCCAACCTGGAGCTAGAGCAAGTCTCCTGGTCTTTATAGTTCTGTGTGTGTTTCTCCTTGTTCTATTTTAGTCTCTTATTCTAATCTACTGCAAATTTTATGGCTATGATCCTAACTTATGCCCATCTACTGCAAATCCCTGCTGCCTTTGTGTCAGCTGCAAACTTGATACGCAGACCTGTTATCTATCCTAGCTATACAGAGCAATGGGTGCCCAGGACAAAGCCAAAGACAATGGACCCACCCTGGCTAAAAATGGCTCACACCCTTCAATGCCAGACCACCAGACTCCTCAATGCTCCTCTCCAAGCCTTCAGCTCCTACCACTGTTCCCCTGTCCACAACTCTCTTTATAGAGGGCCACTTCCTCCTGCCCTTCCTGGGCCACCCTAAGAATACAGAGCCTTTTTACATTTTTCTTCTCAAGTTTGTGTTGCCTAAGTATCCTCAGTTCACGACAGCATGAAAACTTCTGCTGTGGGCAGAAGTCCCATCACCTCTCAATTTCTAGACATTCTACCTCCTCCCTAAATATAGAAAGGCTAGAGGAAAAAATGCTTGCAAAGTTAAACTATCTCTTAAGGAAAGCATAATAAAGACTAAGTTTGGTTGTTAGGGGTCTAAATTTCCCCAACCCTGTGTAAGACAGATCTTACTACAGAACAGGGAAGTTTCTCCTCTATCAGGAGATCTTCAAGACCAAGGTTGCTTTCCTAGAATACCCAGGAAAGGCTTCTATTCCACTCAGGAGTGGACAAATAACATCACCTCACTCCACAAAAGGCAAGAGGGAGGTTTTTCACACCAAGGTTTGTCCCTGAATCAATGTCAACTTGGGAGTCAACAATTCACTGCCTGTCCCAGCACAGACACATTTGTGGCCTGTACACTGATTAGCCACCTGGATACAACAGGAACCAGATTGGCCCAATGGATAAAATACATGGTTTGACATCAAAACACTTTGGCTGCGCTTAATCACTTACCCTCTCTGAACTTTCCCTTCATCTTTTAAAAAGACACAGCCAGTACCTATATGACAGATGTTTGACAAAAGCAAACATAGTTACCTATAGAAGGTAACTATAGAAGACCTTGGGAAAACAGTGTTGTATGTTTCTTTTTATCATTATAACAAAGGGGCAGAGGTGAGAGTGGGAGAGGGAATAGTGAATGGTTATGGCTCACAGACATCTAAATAGGTCTTTATCACATAAGACCTAAAATCACCCAGCACAGATCAAGCATGGTCTCTTGGAAGTTAGAAACAAGTGCAAGACCACCGAGGGAATGAGACCGCAGAGATTCAGGAAAGCAGCAAACCCAGCTCCCCAGCTAGAAGCTGGTGATCTTTCTCATAAGGCATTCATCATTTTTCAGAATTCATACTGTGCTTTAAGGGACAATTTTCACATTAAGCAATGGTTTCCCCAGCTGGCAGGGATACTGGAAGGATCCCTAATAGGCTGGAGTAAAGTGAGAGATACTCGACATAGGAAGAGTCTGTGTTTATTGGATGTGTGCACAATTAGTAAGGTCCACAAGCCACACAAACCTCCCACATAAATGGCATTTTTCCTAAGCTTAAGTCCTTAACACAAAACAGAGTTATTTGAGTCAATGAGGAAAAACCTACTTCCTAAATATCAGTGAGATAGTCCATTTTTTGTGTCCATCTCCTCCACTATACTGTAAGCTACTTCCTGAAAACGTTCTACTTTCTGGGTGTCTCCTGTGTGTTGAAATGTAGAAACCAGGTTTAGAAGCAATGAAATTGCCAACAATTTGAAGTTCGTTCTTGAAAAGGTCTCCCCCTCCTGAAAGAAACTGAGAGGCAGGAAGGGATTAAAATATGGAAAGAAAAGAGAATGCATCAGGAGGAAGAGGAAGAATTTAAAACTGTACAAATCTCTGCAAACATTTCTAAGGGATCAAATCTATGAATTCTCAGGACAAACACCTCTCTAGCTAGAGGAACCCTGAGACTCCTGCACTGAGGCAAGCCAAGCTGAGCTCCCCAGGCCGGCCTCTCCCTCAGCACAGCCAATGTTAAACCCAATTTGTTGCTTCCCAAATTCCGGCAACTCCAGATATCCTCACTATGTCTATTAAACCCTTCACTGGCCAACTAAAATGCCACCTACTTCCAGAGGCTTCCTTTGATCTTAGACCACCAGTTTCTTCTCCAACCCCAGGCACTGAGAGGAAATAAAATTACTGACTCATGTCGGGACAAAACTCACAGCCTCAGCTTATCCACCTCTACAATGGGCTCACAAAGTTCGCTAACACATACAGAAAGCACAGGAAGCTGAAAAGATAGTGTTTCCCAGGGACCTAGGATGAGGGTCCTTGAAGTTGTAAAGGTTTGAAGGTAGAGAGAAATGGCAGGGCTGGAAGGGAGCGGGATAGGCAGTTTGCCCATTACAAAGTGGTGACTATGTGGAGAGACTTGGGGCTTTAAAAGGATAGGAGCCCGGGCCCGACGTCTCCTCCGTAATCTGTCCCCTTCGGGCCTCCGTACTCAGTGAGCCCTGCAGCCGACTCCCCTCTTCTGCAAGCTTTTTTGGGGGCCCCATGCCTCAGGGTCTCAGCCCTCATTCCCAAGCCCCGCCCGCCACGGCCGCACCTGGTCCGAGTCCTCGTTCTCGCTGCTGTAGCAGCACCCCATGGCCGGGGTCGGGCCGGGCACTCAGGCCGCGCGGAGGAGGGACGGCGTCCGTCAGGAGCCCTTCCGGTCACATGACGCGTGGCTCAATCCCGCAGGCAACCACCACCCACGCGTCTACCCCTTCCCAGAGAAGCTTCGTTAGAGCCACAGCCACGGCAACAGGACTTCCGGTCCTGCCTATACCGCGTGATCATCGTCGACCAATGGGAAGGCGAGTCACGCGCGTAGCGTGACAAGAAGCGAACACGTGAGGAGAGCAATGGGCGGGGTGGATCACGTGACTTCGGCGCCTTCTTTGGGCCGCCAGATCCTGCTGTGGGTTCTGATAGTGGCCTTGAAACCGGGCGGCTACCGTTCTGAGCCAGTGAGAGAACTTATGGCAAATGCCGTCATGATACGTCCTCCTAAACAGCATACAAAAGGCGAATGGGATCCAGGACGAACGTTTAGAGTATATGGGGAGGGGGGGGTCACACATAACCCCAGAACAACCTTCTCCAAATTAGGGGCCATCGACTCCATAGTGTCCTACAAAATTTTCAATCTGGACTTGGAGTCTTAGACTTTCTGGAAGAAGGGGCCTTAAACCTTCACAAGCTGAAATGGAGTGAAGCTCAATCCAGGTAGAGGAGGAAGAGACCACTTTTGATCATGCCTTCAGGCATATCTCTAATCCTATTTACAGCAGCTGGCTGTTCTCAGTGATCTAATACACAGAGCTGACCATCAGTGCTCTTACTGTTAGAACCTTTACAGTATCTTCCCTTGAGCCCTCAACACAGGTCCAAGTCTGTCTTTTAAGGATTTGCAGAGAGGGCCTCCCTGGTTGCTGAGGGGTTAAGTCTCGCTGTCAACAACAGCCTGAGTTCCATCCTTGGCCAGGGAGCTAACCCACAAGTCACACAGCATACCTCTCCTGTCTTGCCTACTGCTCTCCTTAGCAGTGCATTTCTGTAGATATACCTGTTATGCCCTTGTCTCTGGTGAATCTTCCCCCCTCTCCAGCCCTTCTCTGTCCCTGGCCTACACCTCAGCTGTTCTAAGCAATTAAAAAAAAAAAAAGGGAAAAGGATTTGCAGTCATTAGACACTTGATGTCCATTAGGTAGTGGGTGAGGGAGTGGGCTGGGGTATTGAGCGAACATTTTCACTAGCCATACAGCAATACTGATTTTCCTTGACTGCTCATGTGGCATAGCACACTGTCTCCCTTGTGCCTTGTGTCTGCAGGACTCTACACAAAGGGTAACCTCCAATTCCCTCCTTTGACCCCATTCTTTTTTTTTTTTTTTTTTAAGATTTATTTATTTATGCTTACAGAACTGGGGCACAGGTAAGAGGTGTGGTGGGTGACCTCTCACCAGAGACTGGGTGGGCGACAGAGCAGGCAGATGTACTGAAATACACTGCTGAGAGGAGCGGCAGGTGGGTCAGGAGAGGTCTGCGATGCCTTGTGAGTCAGCTCCCAGGCAGAGGATCAAACTGTTTCCTTGGATTGGGAAAGCTTCATAGTAAAGTGCTTTAACCCGTTGCGCCACCAGAGAGAGCCCCTAACCCCATTCTTTTGGCATCTCAAGCTCCTGTGCTAATTATCCAGTGTTGATTAATTTACTTATTGATCAAACATATACTGAGTGTCTGCAGTATCTCACATATGTCTATCTGGATATGTGGCAGTTGACAAGGTAGCCAAAAGTCCCTGTATTCAAAGAGCAGCCATTCTAGTGATCACATTAAATTATATTCTCTGTTCCTGCATCAGTCTCTTCTACCAAACTTAGAATTCCGGAGGATAGGGACAGGATCTGATGCTTCTCTGTGACACAAACCCTGGCACTTGCTTAGAGAAAACATGAATTTTGAATTGTTATAACCTCCCATTACCTTTACTCACACTGCGCTCCATATCCTAATCTAAAGGGCTGGAGAAGAAATCACCAAACCCAGTGGTTCTATAACCACTTCTTGAAGCTCCTGAAGGGTAGGAGTCTGTTCTAGCTGTCCCTCGGGCTGGTAATTTGAACTGCAGGTCTCAGGTGACAACAGACTCAGTATCAATAATTGAGAGCAGGTTCAGTCTGTCTCAGGGTTCTCCCCAACCAAGGACTTCCCCTCCTGTCCTATGCTCTGATCTTCTCCAAGCAGGAACCTCCAGCCCAGGTAAGCAGGGTCTTTGATTATGGGTTCCCAAACACACCAGTTCAGACTCAGCACCACTCACCCATTCATACACTGTTTAATTTTTTAGTCCCCAAGGGCCCTGTAAGGGTCAGCTCTGAAGGGGAGGATGGTCCAGGAAAATAGATGGCACTTCTCTCCCATAAGAGGCTAGGGTGGGAGTATGTGCTGTACATATGCTTATGAAGGTAATTCTGAGCAATAATAGACAAGAGGAATGAAAGGGAGAAAAACAGGACTGGAGAAGTACAGAATTGAGGACTCCTCACATCTCCAGGGGAGACGAGACAGAGGGAGTCAGGGTAGAAAGGACCTCTCATCCTAACACCCTATCAAATAAGTGTTTTTGTCTTTTACTGAGGCAGAGCACGACGACAATGAAAAGGTTTCTGACCACAAAGCTGTGCTGTTATCCTACATAGTAAAGGATTAGAGGAGATTAAACAGGCAAGAGGTAGGGTGGAAGGAGGATATCTCAGAGAAGAACTGGTGAAAGGAGTCCAAAAGAAGGGGTGACAACAGAAATAAGGGGAATCAGATAAAGGGAACAGGTGAAGATGGTACCAAAGGTCAGAAGTGGGAAGAGCTGGTCTGGGGTTGTTTTTTAAAGTTAGCATGGAATCCTTGGAGGTGTAGGGGCTTGGAATCAGACCAACTTGGGTTTAAATCCTAGCTCTGCTATGTGACGCTGAGTGGAAGATTTAGTCTTTCTGAACCAGTTTGTAAGCAACAGGAACAGTCACAGCTGCTGGTAAGGACTGTGTGGGTTTCCTTCCCTGCCTCCCTTAGCCCCAGGGCCCAGGAACCATGTCCCCCGCAATCGCACTTGCCTTCCTGCCACTGCTGGTGACATTGCTGGTGCGGTACCGGCACTACTTCCGACTGCTGGTGCGCACAGTCTTGCTGCGGAGCCTCCGAGACTGCCTGTCCGGGCTGCGGATTGAGGAGCGGACTTTCAGCTACGTGCTCACCCATGCCCTGCCTGGGGACCCTGCTCACATCCTCACCACCATGGACCACTGGAGCAGCCACTGCGAGTACTTGGGCCACATGGGGCCTGTCAAAGGTCAGTGTTCCCTAGCTTTTTACTCTTGGAAGTACCCCCCAGGTGGTGAACAAAAATCTGGGATTTGCCACTATCTTACTAGGTAAATGGGGCAGGTTCTTGATCTTCTCTAGGTCTTTTTCTTCTCTTGAAATGAGGGGACTGTGCAAAGTCATTCATTCAGCCAGTAAACATTTATTGCCATTGTTTTTAGGTGGGGATACTCACCTCTATATTAATAAGGATGGTGGCAATTGCCACCTTTTTTGTACTAGGCATGTGCTAGGTGCTGGGGGGAAAGGTAGACACTAGGAAGGCAGATACAAGATGAATCAGCCACAAGAGCAGGCCTCAGTGGAAGCCTAAAACACAGGGGAATGACCATCTGAGCACATAAACTGTAACTTTAATTATCTGTTGGGCTTTTCCTCCCCCACCAAAAAGGCTCCTACATTCCAAGGCGAAAAAGATATCCAACGAGCAAGACAGGAAAAATGAAACTGGAAGTTCTTGCAAACAGAATGTTAGCAAGCCTAGCAAAGATCTGCCAGAAGCCCGGTGGTTTTTTGGCCTGGGCCCTCTTGGAGGAACTGAGCCTAGACTTGTTTTTGAGTTGACCAGGTAGATGTGGGGAGGAGGGTAGAGTAGAATGGGGAAGGGCAGAGTCAGCTGCATACACAAATACAACCTGAAGGAATGTGCCAGCATGGTCGATTCTCTTTGGGATGGCTGAGGTGCAAGTTATAGGTAGGAAGAATTGAGAGCTGAAATTGGAAAGGTAGAATATGGTTAGGTACAAGAAGTCCCAAATGTCGAGCTGAGGATCCCAGTCAATCCCAAATGCCTTTAGAATCATAGAGATCATGGTCACAAGATTCCTAGTGGCTGGTGTAGAGACCACCAGAGACTAGTGGTGTAGAGACTGGACTGAAGATGGAAAACCTAGGGGGGGTAGGGGCCGCTGGAGCAGTAGGGACTATAATTTGAGAGAAGAGGCAGGTGAGTATTTGAGAGCTTTTTCTGTCAAGGACAATGCCCATCTGCCCCCATAGGTCAGATCCTGATGCGGCTGGTGGAAGAGAAGGCTCCTGTTTGTGTGCTGGAGCTGGGCACTCACTATGGCTACTCTACACTGCTTATTGCCCGTGCCCTGCCGCCGGAGAGTCGCCTTCTCACTGTGGAACGGAACCCCCACACAGCAGCAGTGGCAGAAAAGCTCATCCGGCTAGCTGGCTTTGATGAACACACGGTCAGCCCTTACCTCCCCGACCTGGTCAGCTAGCCCAGACCTTGCCCTTACCAGGCCTTCTCATGGGGAAATTGAAGGAATCACTTGTTTGGGAGATGTCACCCTGAAGGGTGTTTGAGCTCCTGTTCTCTTCCAAGTCACTTGCACATATTTTCTGTAGATGACAAAAAAGCAGCTAAAAAGTGCCCGGAGACTAGTAATCTGGGTCCACACCTTAGCCTGCTCCTTGTTAGCTGTGTACTCTTGGGCAAAGCACTTGCTCTGTGCATTTCTGCCACTTCAATGACAGAAGGAAGTCACAGTACTACTGATCCTGATGTTTTCCCATCCCAACAGGTGGAGCTCATCGTGGGTAGCTCAGAAGAGGTGATCCCAAACCTGCGAAGCCAGCACAAGATGAGCCGGGCAGACCTGGTGCTCTTGGGACATCGGCCCCGATGTTATCTACGGGACCTGCAGCTACTGGAAGCCCATGCTCTGCTACCTGCTGGGGCCACTGTATTGGCTGACCATGTCCTTTTCCCTGGTGCACCTCGATTTTTGCAGTATGTCAAGAGCTGTGGCCGCTACCGCTGCCGCCTCCACCATACTGGCCTACCGGACTTCCCTGCCATCAAGGATGGCATAGCCCAGATCACCTATGCAGGACCTGGCTGAAAGCCAGGCCCAGGGGTACTTATGGCTGCTCCCAAGTCCTCATCCCCAAGCAAGGACATCAGAATAACCCTACCCCTCCCTGCTAGTGGACTGATACATACTGGGCTCAAGGCTGAGGGTTCCTTCCCCCCTTCCCCACTCCGGCACCACTGATGTGAGACAAAAAATTCTCTCAGGCTGCTTGGTCCACTAGTCCCCTTGCTTCCAGAGAGAGCCATGGACTGACAGGCCAAATGGCCTGAGCTCCCAGCACAGCTGGCTCAGCAACTGCGGGTCTCCACAGGAGTCTGTGCCTTACTCTGAGATTTTAGCCACTCTCAACATGGAGGAATCTGGTGGGAAAAGTTCCAGGGACCTCCCAGCTCTGGGCTTCACAAAATTCCCCTCTTCAGCCCATGCCATCCTGTGTGGGACTGAAGGAAACAGAAAACACTAAGAGGCCTGGCAAGAATGGCTGGGTACAAACTTGGCCAGAGGAAATAGCAAAGAAGCTTGAACCCAGAGCCAGGGCCCACCCTGGCCTTCTCTAGCCCCAGCCTACATGGCCAGTTAGGTTTACCTGAAGTCCCTTGAGTGCCCCCTCCAAAGCTCAAAAGATAATGGATTCCTCTGGGTCTCATCAACAAACAAGGAACAGACATGGGGGAAAAAATATCAGTCCTGTGTTTTTATTAAAGAGAATTAGAAATATTAGACCTGGCAACCAAGGGGTAAGGTATCATTCAGAAAGACACACTGGACTCAGGCCCTGAAGATTCAACGGCAGACTGATGGCCTGGAAGAAGCCAAGGAGGTCAGGTCCTGGCATCAGCCAAGGAAGTGCCCAAGGATGAGCTTTCAGGCACTGGAGCAATGAGCTGGTTCTGCAGGAAAGTCAGGGTAGGCTGGGCTGGACTGGAACCTCCTTGAGGATGCACTGCCTTATCTTCCTAGATCATCCACTGGTCCTGATCCTGTTCATTGCCTTCCATGTCCACCTGGAGAGGAGGCTGGGTGTGGGTGGGGAGGGGTCTCAGCCACCCAGCCAGCCCTAGTACCAGATCCTGCCACTAGCTGGATCCAGAGTTTCTATACCCCTTGATCACTGGTTAGGTTAGGGCAAGGGCCCCAAAGCAGAGGCCCTCCCCACACCTCACCTACCTCATTGACCTCGCCATCATCAGGGGACTCATTGTAGTCATTCATCTCATCCATGTCCTGCATGTCCTCATCATCCTCTGAGTCCTCTTCACTATCCTCATCATCGTCTTCATCTTCCTCTTCCTCATCATCATAGTGCTAATGAGGTGGGGAAGAGCCCATAGGCTTTATAGGCCTGCCTGGACCTGTTCAAGGGCTGGCCCACTTGACTCTCTCGGGCCAACAAATAGCCCCGTTGAGTCTGGCAATCTGGTGCATGTTTTGCAGGATCTTAGTATTGGACCCAACAACCACCCCCTCTTCTGGCCTCCACCTAGAGGTGAGGACCACAACTGCTCTGGGGTCAGAGGTAGAATCTTCAGAATCAGAACTGAGGCTCAGTCTACCCTGGACCCCACACCTCAGTCCTCAGAGCCACTCACCTCTGAGGCTGGCTTGCCAATAGGTACCAGGTTGTTGTCTTTCTCTGCGATGCTTTGGAGCTATGGTCAAAGTGGGAAGAGAGTGGGACATGGTTTGAGTAAGGCAGGTCAGGGCAAGAGACTGGCCCACCCTGCCCTCAAGGAAACCCACAACTATGAAGAAAACATTTACTTCCAGTTTTCAGCAAGATTCACTCCCTTTCTCTCCTGTCACCTGCTACTTACTCATGAACTTGATCCAACATTTAATGAAACTCTCTGGACCTTGGTTTGCTCACGAGATTATGGTGAGAGTGAAGTGAGAGATAATCAGCCTAAAACATAGCATCTGCTAGGTCCCAAAATAGTCAAAATTATTATTTCCTATGCTTTAGGGAAAGAACCTGAGTTGAATATCAGGAGCTTAGGCTCCAGTCTGGTCCAGAGTTTCCATGGTGGCCCAATGAATTAGAGTAACACAAATTAGAGAAGAATCTAGGGGTCCCTTACTCCCAGCCAAATTCTTCCAAGTTAAGATCAAAAAGCACCTCCAGGGCAGATCTCTAGAGTAGGTGGGTCATAACCAGTGAAAGGGGGTCCCTGACTAAGGTTCCACAACTGTGCTAGATCATCACTCACCCAGGCCTGATGCTGCTGTTCTTGCTGCTGCAGCTCTGTCTCCTCCACACAGGGTCGATCCAGGTTAAACCACAGTGTCTCAGTCACACGGGGAAAGAGTGAAGGAAACAAGGTGGACATGGCTCCTAAACTGAGAAAAAGGGTCAGGTAAATCCAGTTCTTGATTGTATTTGGTTTTGGGTTTTATTTGGTTACAGTTTGATTTGGGCTGGGGTACAGAAGGTATACAAGAAGAGAAGTAGCTCTTCCCTGTGGGAATCAGACAGACCTGGGTTTGAATCCTGGCTTTACCACCTACTGTTTGACCTTGGCCAAGTCACTTAACCTCTCTGAGGTTAAGTTTCCTCATCTGTAAAATGGGAACAACAATTATAACTCCCCCTAACCATTTATAGTTTAGTGATGGGTAACTGAAGCTGTCTGACGAAGGAAGTAAAAGAAAGCCTAGTGTGGTGATAGAAATCCAAAATATACACTGGCATTAGAGTTAGCAGGACACTCCTGAAACTATTTCTACCTTTTCCAAACACTAAAATCTTTTTGCCCCTGATTCTGTACTACACTCATCCAGTATCACCAATTTAGAACCCTGATGACCTCTCTCCTGAACCACAACCAAACTGGGTAAACTGGAGGGAGTGGTGTTCCACTAGCAACTGGTTCAGTAAGACATTTTAAAGGCAATGGTTGAATGAACAAAAATAATAAACACGTGAAGAACAAATAAATTCAGTTTTCATTGAGCACGTTTTCCTGTTAACCAGGAAAACAATCTGAATTAGAACCTCTCAGCTCACAGGAAAATTGAGGCCCGGCAACAAAGACTGACTCTAGGTCATACAGTAACTGGGGATTTCTGACACCAGGCAGGTAAAACATCCAGGGGGAACAGAAGAAAAGACAAACAGGACAAAAGGATCTACGTCGTTCTGATTTTGTCCTAGTTTATTTGCCCTTCCGGGGATCTCAGTGTTCCAGCTCGTGTAGCAGGCACAAACATCACCCACCCTCAAAACCCAGAAATAGTAAGGCCAGAGAGACAACAAGACTCCCTAAGTCCAAGACCTCGCAGCAAAGCTACCGCCCACTCTTTGCTTATTATCATAATGAATCTGAGGTTGACCAACAAGAAGGCTGGGGGCGGGATGCGCACAAGAATGAGCCTTTGCAGGAATGCTAATCACGAAAGGGAGCGGAGCCTGTGCAAGGCCAATTAACTGGAAGAAATGTTGGGAGACAGGAGTTGACACCAATGAGTGACAGACCTTGTGAGGCGGGGTGGGGCTTAGTCTCGAGGAAGTATCCAATGAACTGGCACTCCTTAATGTTAAAAGGAGTTTGAATATGGAGCTCCTGATGAGGCGGCTCAGGCTAACTGGTTCTCTCTGGGACAAGGGGGAAAGACCGAACAAGCAGGCAGCAGCTTAAATCTAGCTTCCGTACTTACCGCGCCCGGAGGCGGCAGCCGGCAGCGACCCGGAAGCGCTTCCCTCAGTCTGAGCGGAAGCACCCGCCAGAACCCGGGACACACCAGACGCATGCGTGTTGGCTATCCTTTTGTTTCTCACTCCCGCCCCCAGGCCGGATGTGACGTTCATACCTTTGCTAGGAATGCAAATATGCCACGCCTACTCTGTTGGCCCCGCCCCTAGTCTCAGCCAATCAGCCTCTCCCGCCCGGCTCTGCCCCTGCCCTCGTGTCCCCAGGCAGTATTGGCTTGCTGACATCTGCTGAAAAATAACTGGCGGTCACTGGCATAGCACTAGTACTGTTTGTCTTGCGGCGTCCCCTGAAAATTAGTCGGCTTCTACCCCAGAATCGTTGGGTGATTTTATGCCCCGCCTGTGAGTGCTCTCACCCAGTTTTCCATTTGGGAGCATATGTTCATTTAGGTGCCTGCAACAAAAGTATTCTAGTCTCTACCAGTTCAGGCAGTGCTAGAAGCTAGAATTAGATCTAGAGCACGACCCTTGCCCTCAAAGACCTCTCAGTCTAGTGGAGAAACCTGACTCCGCACCACTCCTCTGCATTCATTGGTCTCTTAAAATTGCCAATTCAAAAAAAAAAAAATTGCCGATTCAGCTCTGCATTTGAGATTACGTACAGTTGGGTGACTAGTCAGTCTCAGGCACAGCATTCTTCTGCCTGGGAAGTAAGCAGCCCTTTCCAGGCCTGGGGCAAATCTGCTTAGTGGTCAGCCTCATCAACTCCCACTTCTTTGCCCCATGCCTCTGTTGGAGTAATCTCTGACTCAGCCTCCTTTTCAGAAATCCGCTTGTCTTCTGGCAACAAAGGTCCTTTCCAACTTAACCCACCACCCTCTTGGTAGAACTGGTCAGAATAGATGTGTGACTTTTAACAAGCATTTCCACCCCCCACACCCTCTTTCTGTACTCAGTTTCCTCTTGAACCAGTATTAGAATCTAACCTACTTCCTTTGTTGGACTGATGTGAGGATTTGATGAGGTGTTTTATCCACTTGATTATGTTTCCAAGTGCCTTTGGCTGTTATAAAGTTATTTACTAAAGAATAAAATTTTTGGCCTTCTCTGGTGCACAGCAGGGTAGAACGCAGCACTGCAAGCTAGCTGCTGCCGCTTCAGTGCAAGTTCGATCCCTGCCTGCCCTGGAGGTGATCCACATGGCTCCGTAGACCTCTCCTTACCCACCTGCTGCTCCCCTCGGCAGTGTATTCATCACTCTGCCTGTTCTGCTCCCCACTCTGTCTCTGGTGAAGCCTCTCATAGCCCCTGAACCTCTAGCTTGTACCCCAGAGTACAGTTCTGTATGAATAAATAAATCTTTAAAAAAAAATAAAAAATAAAATTTTAAGGCTTGAAAATGTCTACCCTTTTTATTCATTCTGTACATATCTACTGAGTGCCCTACTATATAACTGTGACTATTCTAAGTAATGGGCATACAATAGTGGAGTAAATTTTTAAAAATCCTCATGAAACATTCATTATAATGAGAGAGATAAACAAAAAAGATAAAGTGGTGCCTCCTTGGTGGCACAAGGGATTAAAGCACAGCAATATGAAGCTCTCAGTGGCGACTGCAGCACTAGTTCTATCCCTGGCCAGGTGACTCACATGGTGCAGCAGATCTCTCCTGTCTCACGCACTCTCCCCATAGCAGTGAATTTCAGTAGATTCACCTGTTCTGTTACCCACTGTCTCTGGGGAATCCCCTCACCCCCTGCACTTCTGGCCTGTACCCCAGTTCTTTCATGCATAATAAATAAATCTTAAAAAAAAAGATAAAGTGTTCAGGTTGTGGTAAATACTAAGAATAATTCTAATAGAGAAACATTTCAGGAAGAGAGCAAATACAAAAGAAGAATAATCAAAGAAATGGGAATGAGACACTGGCAGGGGGGATTTTCAAGGGGACTAACTGGAACTCATTTTGATGTGTGTTGAGTTTGAGATGCCCATAAGAGTAGAGATGTTGAGGGAACAAGTGGGCATATGGGTCTGAATGTCAGGAGTGAGACATTGCTTTACAGTGCAGAGCTTTAACCTGTTGCGTCACCAGGGAGGGCCCACAAAGTTGTCTATTTCCCAAGCCTATCATAATCTCCTTGAGGGCAGAGGCTGAATGGTTTCTATATCCCCAGGCCCAGCCTTCCCTCTCCCTTCTCTTACTCACTTATCTGTTCCTTTTGTAACCTATGTCCCCTTCAGCCTCTTCTCTTGCTTCTTTTCCTTGTAAGACATCTATCTCTGGCACCTTTGCCAGAGATTCCCCTGTAACCTACAAAGATCCTCTTCGAGGTTCAATAAGTTATGATGACTGGTTAGCTAGGGGGAGGGAAAAGGGAGAGAAAGAAGTGGAAAGTTTGGGTGATTTACTGTTGGCTCAGATGACTAAGTTAAAGGTGGTGCCATTTTTATATATTCATTATCCTTGCCAAGTGCTATGACTTTATTTCAGCTATACTATAATTAAGACTCTAAGAGGCTAAGAAATTTGTTTGATTGTCTTTCACTTGTTGTACAACAAATGTTTGGTCAACTTTTATTTAGTGTCAGCCAAGTGCCAGGTACCTTAATAGACCCTAGGGACAGAGAGATAAACAGAAATGAATCTGTCCTGGAGCAAAATATAGTCTGTTCAATAGTAAGAGGGAAGCCTATGAAAGGCATTACCAAACAAGGTAGTAAATGTTAAAAGCAATATATACAGAGATTTCTATGAGAGCACATGCAAGGAAACAAATAAGTGGATATGGATAAACTGAGTTTATACTTTAGTTCTAAGGAAAGAAAAATTTGAGTGGGCCTTGAGGGATGAGTAGGAGTTTTTTGTCTATCACTAGCCTGATAGAAAAGTGGGAGAAGGGAGTACACAAAAAAGGAAGGCACTGAGCAGAATGTTTTTAGAGAACAGTGAGAATGATTTGGGGAAGAACTTGGTATCTGGGAATGGAGATAGATGAGGAATGTGGGACTAACTCTAATAGGAAGGACTTTGATGACCCTAAGATAAGGTGGATAGGATGGGAGCCCACTACCCTGGGCCTTACCTTGCTGACTTGCTGGGACCTCCATATCCCCAAACTTCCATTTCTCTCATATAATATCCTAACCCTGAGTTTTTATTTATTTATTGGGGGGGGGTGATGTCAAACTGTTTTATTAAGGGACTTTTGGGGGGAAATAGATGGGCTGGGAGAGATGTGATCCTATGTCTTTGGGCCAGGTGAGATCTCTGCTTTACAGTTTCAGTCCAGAAGGAAGTGTTACCTGCATTCTTTGTGTCTTACATAAGTAAGGTGTGAAAATTCAAAGCAGGAGGCAGGACAGGGATATCCCAATAATCACAAATAAATCCAGGGCCCATAGGCTAGAGGGAGAAATCATTGGCAATGTGCAGAGAATTCTCCAGTATCCAGGAAGGACCAGAACAAAGTGATATGAATTTAATACTAGTAAGAGCTACTTAACCCTTTTTTTTTTTTTTTTTTTTGCCACAATCCTTTAGGAGTATGACTGGCCCTGAGAGGGGACAGAGGAGAGTGTCACAGTCACTTTCACTTACACTGAGGAAACTCTGGTCTTCAAAGGGTTTCACACTCATAGAGTTCTCTTATCCTCACTCTAGCCATGGAAATCCTGCCTCCATTTGACATCTGAGGACTATGAGACTCAGAAAAGTGAAGTAACCTATCCATGCTGAGGATACAGCTTAAGAATGTCAATCGTGCATTTACTCTGCAAAGGTTTCTTATGGGCTGGTCTGTGCTTGGTGATGGGAACCCACAAAAACTGGGTCTGAGTCCCCATCCTCTGGACTGGAAGCTGTCAGTTTAATTGGGAAGCATACAGTAAGTCATTAGGCCCTTGAGAAGAGGTCTCTGCCTAGCCCATCTGCATATTCTGAGTTGCTAGCACAGTGTCAGGCACAGAGAGGCCATTCAGTATGTCCAGTATGGGCTTTCCCTTCAGTCTGAGTTCAGTTACATTCATGGGATGAGTGTTATGATGAAGAAGTGTTCTGAGGAGAGTGGGATATGAGAAGAGAGGGCTGTCTCTGGGACTGGGCTGGTGAAGAGGACTCTTTGGGGAGATGAAACATTACAGGAGGAGACTTAATGGCTAGGATATAGTGCTCAGTCTTACCCATAGAGAACATCCACTGGCAGAGAGCAGGGTGCAATTAGAAGTCAGCCAAAAAGGAGAGTGTCCTGCCTGCTTTTTCTTTTTTTTATATATTTATTTATTTATGCATACAGAACTGGGGTATAGGCCAGAGGTGCAGGGGTGATGAGAGGATTCACCAGTAACAGAGTGGGGAGCAGAGTAGGCAGATCAATGAAGTACACTGTTGAGGGGAGCAGTGGGCGAGACCGGAGAGATCTGCCACGCCACGTGGTAGGGGCCTGGGATAAGACTTGCACTGAAGCGACAGCCAGCTTGCAGTGCTGCATCCTAACCTGTTGTGCCACCAGGGAGGGCCATCTGTTGCTCTTTTTAAAGTCCACATGGTGAATCTGCTCTACTCCTAGTTCCCAGCAGCCTCCTGTTCAGGAAGTCAGGGGAGGAGTCCAGAAAGCTCCATACTTTGTCATCTGATTGGTTATAAGCATTGCCTGCTTACTCAGAGGCTGCTTTTCACCTCTCCTCTTGTAATAGAACCACAAGAGCCCTATGAGAGGAAAGCAAGGGACGGGGGAGAGGGGAGAGTAGGAAGAGTCAGGGTAGAAATGAGGTTGGGTAACGGGAGGAAGGGGCCACCAGCAAAGGCATGCTGTTTTGGAAACTGAAACAGGTAAGGTGGTAGATCGCTTTCTGAAGCCTGCAGTGGGAATGCTGTCATATCAACTTTTATTTTAGTTGGTTTAAATATCCAGAGAAGGTTTATTAGGCTTTTACTCAAGTACAATTTAGACTAGAAGAGACTAAGAG